CAGAGGTACCTTTGCAATGTGCTGCCATCAGCAACAGCATCACCTGCATCTCTCAGGTCATTTCTTATGGCTAGAGACCTTCTGTAGTTACCCTGGGAAGCCTCAAACCACAGTCAGAGATCCCCATACTGCTGTTTCTGATGGGAAACCATCTCCAGTTCACCACCCTCCATCCTGCTGCTTTCTGGAGGTGTAGCTTTGGGGGACTTCTAAAGGAGATGGGTAGTCACTTAGCACCACCAGGACTGCTTCATGCTGAGCTTGTCACCACCTTGCTTGCCGTGTTCCTTCTGCTGGCACTGAAGAGGAGGCTGAGTCAAGTATCTGTGATGTGTGGCCTGAAAGCTACACTAAACCAGGGGTGAGTGACATCATCCAGGAGCGAGCCCAAGCAAACCGCAGCCAGACAAACTGTGGGTGGAAAAATCATTGGGCAACTCCTTATGGATGCCTGCATAGCTTTCCTGACCATTGTCTCACTGCCACGGGTCTCCAGTCACCCTTCAGCACCCAGGGATGCAACTGCAACCAGTGAAAATCTCCAGCTCGGTAAATTTGGCATCTTCTTGGCTGGGAGACCCTAACCCTAACCCTAACCGTGGAGGGATCCCCCCAACTCCTTCCCCCAGCTGGGGCTCAGCAGCATAACAACAGCAGCATCTCTCATAGCAAGTCATGTTCTGTCTCTGTTGCTCCATCTCAGCACAACTGTCCCTACTCTGGAGGGGAAGAAGTGACAGCAAATGACAGGAAGATGCAGGGGAAGGAGGTTGCTTGAGGTGCACCATGACCAGCCCTGGTCCTCCTGGGCTTGCTGAAGGGGGATGTCCAGCAGCATGGTGATGTGCAGGGCTACACAGTGTGTGCACAGAGGAGCCCTGGGCACAGCCATAGGGCTGCAGCATCCTTGTGCTCTGCCCACCATGGGCACTGGGGGTAGCCCACATCCCCTGCAGCCTGGGATGACCTTCCCATCATGGAGGCTGGAAGCCGGTATTTCTCCTCCTCACAAGTGGATCACTGTCACCACAATTGGCTCTCCAGGAGTACCTGAAGGGAGAAGCAAGGACCTGGATGCACTCACACAGCTGTGCCTCTGCGAACCGCAACTGGGGACAGAGGTCCTGCTGCTGAGCCAGGGTGGAAAAGTGGTTTCTGTGTTCAAGCACAGCTGAGCAGGGAGCAGCTGCTGCCATGTGCCTTGCAGAGGCTCACATGGCTCTGCCCAGCAGGAATGCTGAGCCTCTTCCCTGTGCCACACGCAGGGAATGAGCACAGCTTGGCTGTCAGATGCTTGCAGTAATGGAAACCAACCCATCCCTGGAACAAATGAGAATAACAGCTAAATCAGAGGCAGTCACTACCTGGTCGCAGACACTCTGCCAGCTGAGGAGGTGAAATGGAACCTCATGATAAGCTGTTATCTTCAGAGCATCCAGGCACCCATGAAGCCCACAGATGAGCATGGAGGAGGGTGGTGAGAGCACATGTGCTGCTGGAGGGCAGTGGGGGCTGTTTCAGGAGGGGTGGGCAGGGTGAAGGGCAGGAGAGCTGGGCTGGGGAGACACACAGGGTGGGAAACTGCATCCCCAGCTGCAGTGGAGTCAGTGGAAGAGCATCCCTGGCTATGGCTCCGTGGGCCTCCCTGCTTCCCAAGCTGGGTCCCCAGACTGCAGCAGACTGTCTCATGGCCAGAGCTTGACCTTTCCAGCACCAATTAGCTGGGAGAGGAGCCGTGCAGCTAATGAGCACATGAGGGGGTTTATCTCACCTAGCAGGCATGGACACTGCCTATAAAACTCTTGGCAATGCAGCAGCTCGGTATTGATCTCGGGAAGGCCAGGTGCTCCGATGCATAAGAATCATACAGAGAAATGTTCATTTGCTCCCATCTGTCTCCTGCTGCTTAAGGCCCAGTGTCCATGAGACCAACAGCTCTCCGTGCCCAGCATGGTGAAGAGCCCTCAGCATGCAGTAGGCACCTGAGGTTGTCGACAGTGAGAGACTGGCACCTCTTGGGGGTCTCTGCTCTGCCCTCGCAAGCTGGGATGTTTGAAAAGGAAAGGAATATATCCTGATTTCCATAGGTTGCAGTGGAAATGCGGGAGAAAAGAGGAGATAATGCCACCAGAGAGACCTTGAGAGATGTACTAGATCCACTGAGGGAAGGTGTGTTTATTTTTCCTGATAGACTTTATAGGAATGAGGCATTAGGAAATGCTCTTCATATCTGCCCCTTTTGGCCGGGTTTGTTTCAAATAAACCTGCATCTGGAGCATCTGATTGTTCAAAAGGGTCTCAGTATCCCAGCAGAGCATCTCAACCAGGGAGGCCATGGCACAGTGTGGTGGGATTACCCAGCTTCCCGGCTGCAGCAGCAGGGACCTGCAGGAAGGTGCCAGGGAAGCTGCCTGGTGTCTGAGGATTTAGAGCTGTCCCCATGCAGACCTTCATGCCCAGGAGGTTTGAGCTGGTGACTTTTCTGCTTCCACCTCCTCAGAGCCAAGCGTGGTTGGCGCTGCCGAACCCGCTGTACGTGGGATTAGCGGTGGGTAATTAGCCCTGAGCTTTTCTGCTGTGTGTACCTGCAGGAGGCTGGAACAGAACTCTGAGTCAGACAACAGCAGCATTTAGGAAAGGCACCAGGTCCTGGGCAGAATAAGCAGCTGCTGGTGATGACTGTTTTCTCTTGCCACACCAGTGATGTCTCCCATTGTACCGTGCTCACTGCGTGCCTTGGGGGTCGCAGGGAAAGGATGCTCTGTCATCTCAGAGGCACATTGCTCCCATGGAGATACTGTCCTTCTCACTCCGCAGGCTGGGGAGAGGCCTTGAGCTGCAACCTGGCAGCCAGCAGAAGTACGGCAGAGGGGCACAGTCTGAGCACAGAGCACCTTTGCTGTGTGGCAGGGAATTGATGCTTCCTTCCTAACTCAGTCACGCCGCAATTCCCACCACAGGCATTTTAAACACCTTTAATCCGTGATTCTGTCCGGGCTGATCATCCCCATGCTGGCACATCCAGAGGAAATGAGTCTTCTACCATGGCAGGCTGTAATAATAACATATAATGTTTCTTCCCTTGGGAAATCCTGCCAAGGGCATCGGAAATGTCTTGTGAACAAGGATGAATGAAGCCCCGCAATCCCCCTGTGAAGCAAAGCTGATTTCTGCCTATTTTGAAGACAAAGTGAAGGGCACAAAAAGGTTCCCAGGAGCTCAGGAAGGTCACCAAGCAGGGAATAAAAACCCAGGAGTCGTAGCTCCCAACCTTCAGGTTTAATTGCTAAATACAGCGGGCTCACCATTTCAGTTAGCTGCATTGAGGATTTGTCCCCATGCTTTCCTTGGAAGATGATGAGGCAGTTAGGCAGAGCCATGTAGTAGCTTAAGCAGCAAAAGAAAAAGGAGAGAGGTTGGCAGAACCATGGCTTAATGCACTTTAGCCTGTCAGCTTGAAGCATGAACATGTTCAGATATCACAAGTCAAGTAACTGATAACTGCTCATTTATTAATCTCTGGTAACTCAATCTGCCCTCTCAGCCCTAAGTGCTGAACAGAGATGATGCCCTCAGGAGCTGGAGATCAATTTAACTTGTCAAAAGCCTCAGTCCCTGACTCGCTCCTTAATGCCAGCACTCCTAATAATAACTGTTGGGCTGATTTTCTGTCACATAGCAAACAATCCCAGCTCCCTTTCTAGAAGCTCTGGCTGCCACGCTCTCCTGTGCTGGAGAAAGAGCTGTGAATACCCATGATTGAGCTCTGCAGGGGGCACGTTTATGCCTGGAGAAGTCTGGGATTTGCACTATAAAAAGCTCCCACCCCCCTTTCACACCAACACTGCAGTCCTCTGGGTACCGGTGCTTTCATCAGCATCCCTGGAGGAGAGCAGGGACTCAGGGGCCCTGTGTCCTGCTTCTTGCTCACCCTTGTTGCTGGGAGGTGCTCAGCCACACTGGGCAAAGCCTCCTTGTGAGTGGCAGCTCCAGCAAAGAGCTTATGGTTGAGCTGGACTGAAGAGCTGGGGGAAACCAAGCCCCCACACTGGAGCAGGATGAGGCACAGGTCACACATCCAGCCCGGCAGCGATGGGAGTCAAACTGAGCTAATAAACTCCCTGTCTAATGGCCCCGATGCAAACCCTGATTGCTGCCTGCTCCATGTGGTCTCATTTCATGGACATCAGTGACTCCGTTGTCCCCCCCCCTTCACTGCCTTCCCTGGACTGGAACCAGCCCTCCCAGTTCCACCCGTTGGGGATTGATCCTCATTGGGAATTAAGAGCTTTGAGAGTGAACGTGGCAGCAGCCCAACCGTGCTCTGCTTCATTAGCCCCAAAAGATTGCTGACGATGAGCGCTTCAATTCTGGCATTGCAGGTCCTGCTTCTCAATAACAGCAAAAAGCAATTTCTGAGAGCACAGCCAATAAAGTGGAACTGCCTTTATCACAGCTGGTTAAGAGCGGTCGGCAATTGTGCCCTGTGGAGTCACTATTTCAGGAAAGCTGCTGTGTCCTGAAAGCAGAGGTCCTGCCTGCAATGGACAGGCTGGGAGAGGGACCCTGACACATGCAAACATCCCAGCTCCAGAGGGGCTCATGTCTGGCCCCAAAATGCATAGCCAGTGGCAGGGCTACCAGCAAGATCTGCAGGTGCTGGGTACAGGTCCCCATCTCTCAAGCTCTGCAGGTGCTGGATACAGGTCCCCATCTCTCAAGATCTGCAGGTGCTGGATACAGGTCCCCATCTCTCAAGATCTGCAGGTGCTGGATACAGGTCCCCATCTCTCAAGATCTGCAGGTGCTGGATACAGGTCCCCATCTCTGCAGGGTCACCTCTGCCACAATGCCCTGTTCAGTTGGAAGGAGCAGGGAGGTTGGTGTCCCATATGGGAAGGTGTGGAGCTGCCCCACTGATTAGGGAGGTCGGCAGCCCATCAGGGCAATGAGGAGCAGCTGGGCCAGTAGCTACAAATAGCTTGAGGGCCCCAGCCTGGGCTAAGCCAGGTTCCTTGCCTTGTGTGGGTTTTTGGGCTTCATGGAGCAGCAAGGAAGGCCATGCACCAGCACAGAGCAGGTACAGATTCTTCAGGTACCACAGGGGCTGTTTTTGCTGCAGGCCCTGTCAGAGGTGCCATAGAGGATGCCTGACTTTCTCCCTCTCTCTGTTTAGGGGGGGGCAGTTGCCTGCAGTGAGCCCCACTCCTTTTCCAGCAGGTTCCTGCACCAGATCCTTCAGCTGAGCTCAGTCAAGTACCTGGTAGGTGATGCTCCTTTTGCTGGAGAGGTGATAAAACCTTGAGACTGGCAGTTCCTTTGGTTTCTCTGCTGCACATTCTCTCTTCTTTCAGTCTTTTCCCTGTCCTCAGGGTCTGCTTGTCCTCTGCTTCCCCCCTCACCTCTCCCAGCTTTTCCCTTCTGCCTGGTTTCATCTTGCCTTGTTCCCCTTTTGCTAATGGTTGTTGCAGTACTTGCATTTCTCTTTCTCTGGGCCAGGAGAGGTGTGAGGTCTTGGGCAGACAAGGTATAACCTAACTGGTCCTGGTTTACCTGGCTGAAGCTGGTCCCATCTCAGCTCCTTCCTGGCTCAAAGCAGGGTTTAAGAGTCTTATTCAGGACTTCAAATAGCCAGGAGGCCTCATGCCCCAATGTACCTCTTGTCTGCAGCTGAAGGTCCTTCGGAAAGCATCAGCGTGGATTGGATTTGTGGTCCCTGTGGACACCATTATCAGCAAGGTCTACCCCTTGCAATCTCCCAGGCCCAGAAGACTTGCCAGGAAGCGCCGGGGGAGACTGATGTGCTTTGTCCTCTCCATCATCCCCATCAGGATCCAGAACATCCTGCGCTACCAGCCAGGGAACTGGGGCCAGAGCAATGTGCCCAAAGGTAAGAGCTGTGACCTTCTGCAACACCTGAAGGCTTTGCAGTTAAGAAGCACACAGTACCACGTGTGCTGTGGGATTGATCACACTGGGACTGGGGCATCTGTGCTGGGTAGAAGGCTGGGAAGCACGCAGATGTATGTTTGTTCTGTGTGTGTTATGACTGTGCCTGCTATGAATCCCTGCAGAGATCCAAGAAGCCCTTATCAACTCCTCTAACAAAGCAAGCAAGAGGAAGTGGGATGACCTAGATCGGGAGGAGGAGGAGTCCTTGCTGGTGGAACTGGAAAGGGACCTGCTAGAAGATGACTCTGACGATCTCACATACAAGGTAAGAGTTTTGGGCTGCTCAGCAGGTTTCTTCCTCAGGGGCTGAGCAATTTGGCGATGATTGTGGTTAGCTCCTGGTAGATGGGGAATGTCACTGCATGGGTCTGCAGGGGATCCTGTGCAGGGAGCTCTGAAGAGGTCTCCTTTACTGTGCATCCTTTGAGGGATGGAGGTGTCCAAAGAACACTGGCGCATGATCAGTGTTTGAAAGGTGTGGGTGCCCCTGTCAGTGGCTGATGTCCCTGCAAAGCAGCATCCCTGCTGTCCTTGGCTATGTGGCTGTGTCTACCAGCATTATTTGGAATGGGGCCAGTGTGTCCTTCCTCAGACTACTTCTTTCCTCCCCAGCCCTCGGATGTAGAAACAGATAGTGAGGAGTATGAGACCCAGAATGACACTGAGGCAGACCTGGAGTTTGAAGAGCAGGATGGGATTCTTATGCTGAAGGAGTCCTTGGATCTCCAGGTGAGTGTGCCTGCTCCATGGCTCTAGACTCTAATAGTGGGCGTTAAGGATGTACTTCAGTCCTTGCTCCCTTGGCTGCAGAAGGAGAAGGTGTCTGGGTTTGCTCAGACTAATCTGAATTTCATGAGATCACTGCATGGGTTTTGTGCTGCCCTTCTGCAGAGCTGCAGCATGACCGTGCCCCTGTCTCTGCAGGTGGAGAACATAAAACCTGCCAATGTTAATGATACCCCAGAGTTGCCAGCTGCAAGCACAGAACCAGGACCAGAGGATCCAGCTGTGTACAGCAGTGAAGATGCTCCAACTGTTGATAGTGGCAATGGTGATACCCGGAAGCCACAAACAGATGTGAGCAGTGGGGATGGCAGTGGGCAGGAAGCTGATGCAGACGATGATGACAGCAGCAGTTTGTCACACTCTGGGGTAAGGATTCCTCTGTGCTGAGCCGTAATCCCCCCCATCCTATTTTAGTGTGTGCAGGAGAGGACATGAGCTCAGAAGTGTTTCAGCCTGGAGGGATGTCCCTGGGATCTGAGCCTTTGTGAGATAGTTCTCCATTCCCTTTGCTGCCAAGTGAAATAGGAAAGGGTTGTAGGAGCTCTAGTTCTTCTCTCTGTGCACAGAGAGAATCCCCATATGTTGTTGAGATGGTGCTGGGTGTGTGCAATGCTGTGCGACAGGACTGCCAAATGCCAGTTGAGCATCCTGTGCTGGGACCCTGGGTGGCCACTTCTGAACTGCAGGCACTACCAGCAGGTCACCAGGAGCCCTTGATGACTCGCTGGCCCAGATGTCTTCTTGCACTTTAAAATGGAGAGGACTGATGGGAGAGTCTTCATCATTAGGAACTTCTCATGGGGTCCTTTACTGCTCAAGACCCATCTGTTGTTAGAGCACTGGTGAATACCCTCCTAGTTCCTATGAAGCTCATGCTCTGCTTCCCTGGCTTGCAGGGAAATGGAGGGTGAGGAGAGTTGCTCAGTGGGTTGATTTGTACTCCCTGTCAGTGGTGGCTGACCAGTGTGATGGGTGAAATCTGTTGTGTTTTTCCAGGATAAGCAGGAAAACTGATCCATGGACCTGGACTTCTGCTGTGGCTGCAAGTGCCTGGTTCCCTGGGGCAGCTGTGTCCTGAAGTAAGATTGTGGAATGTTATGTTGATGGGTTTTGAACTTTATAATAAAATGACCTTATTTTTCATGCTAATGGGGATGCAGTTGGCTGTCAGTACCTGGAGCTGGCTGGTTCTGCCCCTGCACCAGATGGCATGGACATACTGCTGCTGGGAGCCCAGGGTAGGGAGCTGCCAGCAGGACCTTTCTCTCTGATCCCTCCTGGGGAGAGGCCCTTGTGGCTGCTGGGGGGTGATGACTTTAAGAATGGGAAGGAGAGGGGTGTGGAGGTGAGGCTCAGGCTGAAAGGCGCTGGGTGTCCATGCTCCTAAGCATGGATGGCCACGCTGACTGGTCCCTGGATGGCTGTAGAGACACGGGATGGTTGTCTCAGAAGAACCCCCCTCCACATGCATGACATCCCCAAGAAATACAGGGGTGCAAGTCTGTACCCTTGGGGCAAACCAGCAAATTCCATGCTGCTCGGTGAGCGTTTAGAGGCTTTCTGGTTGGGTGTAATCCCAAGCAGCCTTCTCCCTCTCTGGGTCCTACAGACCTGAGCAAACAGCAGTTTGTGTCTGGGAAGTCGGGTTGGGATTGGAAAGTGCCTGAATGCAACCTGGGGTGACTTGAGCTTCACCAGCATGTGCTACGCTGCCTGGAACAAGTCACAGTATCTGAAGCTGCAAAGAACGGTAACTCTCCAAATGTGAGTGTGAAAATGGGAGCAGCTTGGGGTGTTCGGTGCTGTCGCTTGGGGCATGCCTGGAGGCTGTGCCTGACACACAACTGCCTGGAGCTGTATGAGCCTGAGTGTATCAGCTTGCACTAATGATTCTCTAAGTGTTAAAAGTAACTATGGCATCCTGCAGCAGGGATGCTGGACTGAACAAGCTGAGGTTTGGGGCAGGTTTAACCTGGCTGGGCCAGGCCGGTTCTGCTCTGAGCATGGCAGTGGATAGACACTGCTGCCTGCCAGTTTAGTAATGTCTCTGTATGCCCCCTGCCATGGGCAAAGCCTCTAAGGAAGTTTAAACTGCAAGGAAGGAGGTGTTGAGATGCCCTGAGGTTTTGTTCTTATGTTTCCCAGTACATACGAGCTGCAAGAAGGAGTGGGAGTTATGAGGCATAAATCCCATGGAGTTTAAAGGCAGGGCAGTAATGAGGATGGAGGTGTCCTCCCTCCCAGGCCCTGCTGTGATCAGGGATGCTAATGTCTTTCTAATTAAAGATTGTTTCTTCTGTTAAAAGCAGCTCTGGGGCACATTGTGCTGTGTGCAGCCCTTCCTGCGGGGCTGCAGTGATGGTGTGAAGGGCTCCTCTGGCCAACAGTGAGCCTTTTAAAGGAAGAGATACGGGTACCCTAAAGAAGTGGCTGGGTCAAGACCCCTCTCCTCCAGCTGCAGCCCTTAAACCCTTTCCTGGCCTCTAAAGCTGATTCTCTCCATGTAGCTCTGGCCAGAGCATTGGTGCGGGCTCCTTGTACCTCTGCTTCAGTGGAACATGCCTCTGCCTAGGCAAAGACATTTTTCTCCCAGGTTACACCAGTTATTTGTGCACCATCAATGTACAGAACAGCCTGAATAATGAAGCCTACATAGCCATGAAGCTGCTCAACAGCCTTCCCTATAGCAGTGTCTCTTTAAATGCAGGTATGCCTCTTACCTGGCATCATCTGCTGCCACAATAGCAGTGGTGTCATTACTGCTGAATAAGAGCAAGGTTTTTGTCTGAAGATTGGTAAAGCAGCTGATGCTGCAGCTCCTCGGTATTATATTGGGCTCTGCATCAGTTCGGTTGCTCCTTGGTTGTGTTTGATAGCTCTCCCATTCTCTGCAGCCTGTACTTTGTAAAGCAGAGATTAATAAAACATCCTTCAGTGACATAGAGCTAGGTAAGGGCTCTTTCTGAAATCCATGCAGGCTGCCCCTGCTTGCTCCTGAGTTTAGTAGCACTGGATATGGAGATAAAGAGGAGTCTTTGTTCACTGTCTGGGTGGCAAGCTGCAGAGTGATCATGCCTTAAAATGTAGGGAGGAAGCAACTAGCACTAAATCTGGTGCTCTAAGCTCACCTGCAAATGAATTCTGTGCACACCTGGCTGCAATGGGAGGCATGCCCAAAGCTTCCCACATCTTAAGCCCTGATTTAGGAAGAAGACTCATCCTCAAGATGAGTCATGGGGGAAGTAAATGGCTTGGTGGAGTGAGACCTTGCTGCAGAGCTGCTTTGTCCCAAGATCATCATCCTGCATCCAGGCAAGTAAGTGGTGCCTGTCTGTTATTGCTGAGGAGGTGGGGTGAAGAGGAGGGAGCTGCTGGCTGGGTGTGAAGGCTCAGACTGGAGAGAGGTGGCTGTGGAAGGTGCCTGAATGTGACAGTGGCTGTTGGTGGGTGTCCCCATTGCTGGGGGGTAATGGGTGCCGCAGGGCGGTGAGTGAGCTGCATGAAATACCTGCTTGCACGTGGGCTTTGTCTGCTTGCAATATGATAAGCATTGTACAATCCCAGAATGCAGGTTTGTGGCTAAGGGGCTATTTGTCTGGTTCAGTGGTGCAGCAGCCAGAGCGTTCACCACGATGCGGTATTACAGAGCCTAATGCTTCTTGAGGACTTGGTCCCTTTTTACATTGGCAGGGAGGGATGGGAGAGTCTGCCCTGCCAAAAGGCAAGAACCTGCTAAGGGCTCCTGAGCATCTCCCTCTCAGTGCCAGGAGCCAGGCAGAGGGGTGGCCATGGTGAGGAGCAGGCACTGAACTGCAGGGGAGGGCCACGGTGAGGAGCAGGCTCCTTCCCTCCACCCTTGCACACCCTGGAAACATCCAATCACTGCTTTTTGCAGGCCATGACCCTGCCTCCTCCTGCCCATCAGTGGGGTTGGGGTGGTGGGAGCCATGCGAGCTTAGCCGAGGTCTGCACCTCCCATAACCGTGGGGTCCGTGTGGTCTCTGTGGCTTAGTGGGTAGACACCAGGGCCAACCCCATCTCCTTGGCAAGGGCCATCAAAGAGCAAGCCAGGTGCTGTGATAGAAGGGGATGGGGAAAGGGAGAGAAATTGAGGGGTTAATGCAGTGGTAGGGGGATGAATGCATAAATGTGGCCCTGGAGGGAGCCTGAAGGGGTAGGTGAGGGTGACCCCTATGGTCAGGGTCCCCCAGAGGACACATGGACCAAGCTGCCTGCAAAAGGCTCTACATTAGATCTATGACGAGGGCATTGCATGGGAAACAAATGGCTTAATTGAGGCAAAAATGATCATAATTAGCGTGAGCAAATCCAATTAGGAGCCTGGGGCCAGTTACCTTGGGTCTGCCATTGGGAGCATGGGTGTTGGGTGGTGTGGGATGGGCAGGGATAAGGGGTGATGGGTGCTCCCCTGGGACTGGCACTCATTAGCATCAGCTCCTCCTCAGGGCTGCTGGCTCTGTGCCCTGGATGGAGCCTAATTAGGATGGAGAAATGGAATTGCCAGGGGTGAGGGGGCTGATGGGCAGAGAAGCAATCGCTTCCCGCGGAGCAGCTTCCCAACAACTGCTGTTGCTGTCAGCTGTTCAAAGCTGGTAATCGAGCGGGTCAGAAACCCCATTCCAACCTTGCTGCAGGGCTGGAAGGAGCGTTTTGTGCTTTCCTCCAAAGAGCAGAAGGAAAATTGTCCTGTTTGTCCTTTAGGGGTGACTGCCTTGTTCCTCACAAGCCTGGGGGCTGTGGAGGGGGGACGTGCTGGGTTGTGGTGCCTCTGCCCTGGTACCCTGCAATGATGACGTTAAATGTGAAGTGTAACTTTGCAGATGACAGGAGGCATTCATACAGAGGCACACAACTGCCACAGACCCAAAATGTCTATTTCCAGCAAAATCCTCTTTATCGGTTGTAATTTGTGTTACAAATATTTTTCCTCTCAGTAATATATGAATCTGAGCTGTTCTCATCGGGCTTCTCTTTCCTGTTCAGTCTCCTCATCCTCTAGAACTGGTTGTTCGCACAAGTGCAATAGCGAGGAGCAGGCACTGAGCACCACCTCAACTTAATCCCCTGCCTTTTCCAGCCCAGCAGCAACTCCTCTAAGCCACCCCACTCTGTGAATAGCAAAGCATGAGCTTGTGAACCCCTGGAGATGCTGGGCTGCGGTGCCGGGCCTGGTGTGGTCCCACCTCTGTCGAGCAAAACCAGTATCCCTTGCAACGGGAGAGGCAAGCAGATCCCACAAAGCATCAGGAGCACTCATGACCTGCAGCCTCCTTCCTCACAGGCAGAGGGGGAATTTGGGGTGCTCCTGCCCATCCTGCTCAGCCTCCCACTGTGTCACAGCAGATGCAAGCCCTCAGATGTGCAGGCAGATGACTGCTTGGTGCTGTCATCCATGTGAGACTCCTCCCTGCAAGCAGCTCCCAGCAATAATCCTGGCTTTATCTTTATGCAGGAATGAGGGAAGGTTTCTGATGTGTCCCTGTGGGGAACTCTCTGTACAAGCTCCAGGTAGTGCCAATGGCCTGTGCTGAGGATCTGGCTCTCCTCTGCGATGCAGGCAGCCAGGGTGGAAGTGCTGTAGCTGCCCTAAACCCAGTGGGTTTTACAGCTGCTGTTGGTGCTGCACATCTGCATGGCCATGAGACAAGCAGCTCTCCCCATACATGCTTAGCATTGAATCAAGTAGGTTGGAAAAGACCTTTTAGACCTTTAGGTCCAGCCTGGTCCTCAGTGACTGGGGAATTAATCTGTGACTTCTCTGAGGACATGGTGTGGTTCCCAAGGGCACACAGGCAGTTGGAGGCAGGGCTGGTGATGTGCTCTGCTTTGCCTAGGGATGTGCACAGTCAAACCCAGCCAGGCTGCATGGAGTTGACCTCTGGGGGTTTGTAGTTGTCAGTAAAGGGCTTTTCATCAGGGCTGGCCTCTGCTTGATGGTTTATCTGAATCCAAAGATGCCTCAGACCAGCTAAGCAACGTTGAAGCCCTGAGCTGGGCACTCAGACCCCATGTTGTGAGGGGGGCTGCATCCAAGTGTGTAACTGGGAGCAGTTATCATCACCCCGGTGACAGAGCGCTCCTGGCCAGCACCAAGGAAGTGCACCATTCCCAGGACAGATAGTTTTGGC